ATACTTTATTATATGACCGTGAATCTTAGAGCCTGGACACTAGCAAATCGAGCAATCTGATTGGATAGATCGCATCGCGGACTGGTCTAGATTCTCCGGCATTAACCGGTCCGATCGCATATTAATCTTACGGCAAAACCATTTTGTCCTTTTCAATGAAAAGTGGTCATATAATAAAACTCTTATCAACTGAGCTTGGTCGGTCTGTACAGGATAATCTTGACCTCGGTCTGTACATTCCGACCTCGGTCAAGATTATCCCGTACAGACCTCCCGCTCGGTTAATAAGATCTAATTATTTCATATGTAATGTTATTTCTCCGATACTTGACATTCTGAGCTGAAAGTCCACCTTATTATCATTATTATTACAATTAATGCAAACATTATTATTATTATTATCATTATTATTATTATTATCTTATTGATATCGAGGTGTTCTTTTCATTTCTAGTGTTCATTTTGACACACTTCATCGATTTAAGGGACGGGGGCCTTTTAGTGCAAGTTGGTCCATTACTGCGCATTAGCGGAGAAGAGTTTCGTCTAAAAAATATGTTATCGTAGAGACCCTAGCAAGGGCCATAAAATTGTAACAGATAAAATAATGGTTCAAGAATTCACTCTCTATTGGAGCCCTGAGATTGCTTTACGATAAAAGATAGCAATCAATGATGCTCTGGGTGAGGCTACAACTATACTAGCAACATTATCAAGAGAATGACACGTGGTCTGAAATGAGAAAACATTATCCCCCCCCCCCCCCTGTAAAAAAATGTGTATTTCAACGCATCACAGAAGAACGTAGATGTAAGGGAACTGAGAAAGATTCCAGGAAAAGATACGAGAATGCAAAGTGCTTGATTCTTGTCATTAAGAGATTATTTTGAAATCTATAAAATGGTTCGAATAGAGTGTAGTTACTACGATGAATTCAAATTCAAATCATCTTATCATTGGCCAATCATTTGTGAAAGAAACGAGTAGAGATTCAGTAACTAGGGCTTAAGCTCGTCTTACGATAACAAATGATAATTTTACTTATTGAAATGAAGACTAGAAAACATTTAACGAGAGATTCGAAAGTTTCGTTTTCACGTGACTGCTTTTTGTGCTACAATATTCTAGTCTATAAGGGCTATTCTTATCTTGGCAGATCTTGTAAAATGAATGAAGAAAGACAACGTTCGGAGACTTTGAGGCTGAAACGATAAACTTTTGAGACCCAGTATAACTTATCTTTGAAAGCAATTTATTGAGGTTTCAACTTAACTTGATCTTAATCAAAATTAGTGCATTCACGATGTGAATGCTAACTTAGAAGGAAACGATTAGTGAATAATCGGATAAGAAAACAGAAACGAAAACAGAAAGAAAGAAAGAAAGAAAGAAAGAAAGAAAGAAAGAAAGAAAGAAA